AGAAAAGAAATTATGAAAATTTGAGCCGTTTTGAGAAAATAATTTTGAAGACTTATATTATACGCAAAATTGGCCCAAAACTATCCATTTTTTCAAACAATTGTTCATGACCTTATTTAAATATTTATCTTTAAAGAACATATTTTATTACTAGCTATTAGAAAATGAATTATTCCTTCTTACGTTGATATTGGAAGCTGCTAATTGCTGGAAGTCGAATCTAATATCTGAATGCCCAACACGTCGGCTTGATATATGCAGCTCAAAATATTTCGATTTCTTCACCCTATAACCGGCTAGAAGGCTTTCAGAAAGTCGGAAAAGTAATATTTTTTTTGAGAGAAGCAGGTTTGGGAAAATTAGAATCAATCAATATAAAAAAAACTATTTCAATGTTTAATTTAATATTTTTTTAAATATTTTGTTACATGAACATAAAAGTATAGTGCTCTGGGTTGCAGCTTTGAACAATTGACGTCATAGAGGTGGCCTTTTCGTTACTTGCGAATATTTGGAATGTGAATTTTCTTTACCTACTCGTGGTTAGCATTTACGAAAAAGAATATTCACATTTTAACAGTTTTTGTTATCGTTTATCTTCTCGCCCTTACGAAGGGTCTTCGCGAGCAGAGCAATATTTATAATCGCCCGCCGAAAATCGGCAAATTTTCGGCAGGAAAAGCTTATTGCCTGGTTCTGGGAACGATAAATTGGACAATTTCAAGTGCTAAGTACAGAAAAAAAATTCTCTAAAACATGTTGCAGTCATAAATCATGTGGGTCCATGATACCTAAAAATCGATTGATTACAAAGTCTGTCCGTTTGTGGCCAACGCTAGTGCTTAAACCGTTCAGCTGATTTTCTCCAAAAATATTTCCCGATCGATGTGAATAAACTCGAGGCTTTAGAAGTTTGAAACGGATTTTTATTTTTGAGGATACTTAACATAATGGGAGCTTTTACATTTTCAAACGTCACCAGAGTTGACCCAATAAGGCACTTCTCTTATTAGTGAGAGGTACTGGTATGAGTGACGGCGAGTGAACTCCTAGGATCCGAGTTCTAGTTGCGGAGCGTAAAAAAAGTGTTGGCTGGTAAAATAAAAAAAAAAAACTTTTGTAAGTTAATGTAGCTGCATAATTCAAAGGAGCGCTTACAAATAATGCGAGAAAGTACGCGATTTTGTAGCACCTAGTTCTGATACAGAGCGCTGTTATTATACGCCGAGCAGCGTCTCAGAGGTCAACGACACAAAAGAGGGAGCTTTTACATTTTCAAACGTCACCAGGGTTGGTCCAATAAGGTCGCGGAGCGTAAAATAAATGTTTGCTGGTAAAAAAACAACAACAACTTTTGCAAGTTAATGTAGCAGCATAATACAACGGAGCGCTTAGAAATAATGCGAGAAAGTGCGTGATTTTGTAGCACCTAGTTCTGAGACAGTGAGCTGTTATTATACGCGAAGTTCGCGGCGCTGTAATGTAACAGCATAATACAACGGAGCGCTTAGAAATAATACGAGAAAGTGCACGATTTTGTAGCACCTCGTTTTGATACTGTGCGCTGTTATTATACGCCGAGCAGCGTCTCAGAGGTCAAGGACACAAAAGGGGGCGGGGACGCGGTGAGCATGGCGGTACAGCAACATGGCAACTTCACAATAAGACGTCCCCACCGCAGCGCGTCCTTGGAGAGTCGCGCTCCCGCTCGCGCAGAGTGAGGTGCTCGCGTGCTGCTCGCCCCCGCCTCCACCCCACCCCACCCCTCCGCGCCCCGCCCCGCTCGCGCTCACCCGGGGAAAGTAGGGCCTATATAGCGCTGCGCCCGTCGCCGGACTGTAGTGCAGAATGGACCTCCAGGTAAGTCACAGAGCGGAGAGCAGCACTCTAGTTGTTACGCACGAAGTGAAGTTTTCAGTGTTATTGTGTGTTCCGTTGTGTCGTATCAGTCCCTCGTATAACGTATCGGGAATTTAGAAATTTTAGTCCCGCATTGGCAGAGTCGTTTTGCGTTCTAATACGGTGTCGGGCACGCATACAATTTTAACATAAAAAATAATTTCGAAGAATACGCAAACTAACACTGCATTAATTTCTATTTTCGCTAATATTTATGAATATTATTGTAAATCTTCATGCCGATGTTATTATTTTTACATTTTTATTCTAACTACTCTCTAAACGTTCAATTACGATAATATATTGCGATTTCTGGTTTTGAATTCTGCATAGCTTCACTTTATATTTCTTCTACATTGTTTTCAATGTAACGACCTCCGGTATGGAACGAGGACGTATTAACATGACAGCTCCTCTCTCACTTAGCGGCGACTCTTGGCGTTGCTGCTGCTGGCGGTGGCGGTGGCCGCGGCGACGGCACACGCCACAACCCGCCACACGCGGCGCGCCAGACGCCGCGCGCCTCTCGCTGGCCGCCGAGCTGCGCGTGCTGCAGGTGGCGGAGAAGGTGGCGCCGTCGCCTGGACCAGGCGTCGTTCGCCAAGGGCTCCGTGCGAAAGCGCGAGTCGCCGAGATGGCCTCCCCCGCCCCGCCCCCCACCCCGCCCCGCGGCAGATCGAGGCGAAGCTGGCGCGGCCGACCCCGAGGCCGCCCCGTCGCGACGGCCGGCGGGACGGCGACGAGCCGGCGACCGGCGCCCCCGCTGCCGACGACGGCGGCGTCACGCCCTCCAAGGAGAAGGGCAAGATGAAGAAGGAGGCTCTCACGCGATCGGGGGACGATGACAAAGCTGCCCACCGCTGGAAGGGCATTCGCAATTCCCAGAAGCACACCCTGGCGCATAAAGCCGCCATTGCTGACGTCATCCGCGTGCGCAGTCCGCCGCGCGGTCCGCCACCGGGTCGGTACCCGCCCGTGCACCGGCCGCCCCCGCCGCCGCCGCCACCGCCTCCCACACTTCCCTCCGGGTTCCGCCCCATGCTGACGCCTCCGGGCTTTCGACCCCGACAGCCCTCCGTGCCCGCCGACATAGCGCACGACGTGAACGCCGCCTTCAGCCACGTATCTATCCGCACGCGCCCGGCCCGACCCCAGGTCTCCATCCAAACGAAGTTGCAGATCGCCGCTCAGGCACAGGCTCAGGTCCTGGCAGCGGAACAGGCCCAAGCGCAAGCCAACGCCCTGGCGGAGGCGGAAGCCCAAGCGGTGGCCGAGGCGGAGAAGAAAGCCGAGGACAAGGTGAGGAGAGAGGCCGAGGCCCTCGAACTGGCCAAACTGCAAGAAGAAGCTGCGCAAAAAGAAGCGAAAGAAGCGCAGAAGAAAGCGCAGGAGGAAGCCGTCGCGAAAGCTAGAGAACACGCTGAACTGAAGGCAAAAGCTAAAGCTGGAGCGCAAGCCAAACTGAAAGAGGAGGCCGAAGCGAGGTTGAAAAAAGCGAAAGCCGAAGAGGAGGCAAGAACGAAAGAGGTGAAATCTCGCGCCGAAAACAAATCCAAAGCAGAGGTCGAGACCAGGACGGAAGCTACATCAGCGCAGTTAGAACCTCAGGAAAACAATCAAACTTTGACTGAAGACTCGACGAAAACGCTGGCGCAGTCAGGTCGCAGAGGCCGCGTACTGGACGCAGAAGCTGCAGCGACGACAAATGACGATCGCCAGCCGTCCAAGCGAGATTTGGACTATTCCGGAGAAGTCCAGAGCGCCGCGACAGCCGCAGCTGCGGTGGCGGACTTGTCAGAGGCCCACGCTCAGCCTGCGCACGAACAGGCCGCCTCTGACGAGCACGTTCACACGTACACGGTGGAAGTCGAGAAGGCCGTGCCCTATGCGGTTGAGGTATGTCGCCAGCCATGCGATATCTTCTTACTTTTATTTTAATTGTTTTTTCCAACTACGACCGTTGATTAAACATTCTGTTTACGGTGTAACGTTTTATACTCATTATTATTTATGATTTCTCGTTTTTTATGTTTCACTTAATCTCAACTCACTAATAATGAAAATTATCAAGACGATCATTTAAATGCATTCGCACATACTAAGTGACAGCATGTCAAAAATGTTTTTTGACTCTGCATGGACTAAAAATATAATTCCGGATTCGTAATTGCATGAGCACATTCTATTTCATAGCCATTATGACAGATATGAATGAAAAAATATCAACGTTCTTTAATAAAAACGTTCAGATGTGAGAAAATTCGCAATTAATTTCGTAAAACGATAAATTTTCTTTTTTGTTTGTCTTTTATATTTTGTTTTTTCGAATTGTAGCTCCTCTATTTTTTGTTGTCATTTGTAGGGGGTTGTTCTGCCTAGAGGTATGAAGTACGTTTTACTTTTATGCAATCGCTTTCTCAAAATGTTTCCTTTGGCTCTAATTAGGGTTTCTTTCTTTGCAAATTGGTGGTTGAATTCTGAGTCGGATACGTACAACATTGCCATTGTTTCCATGGGCGTTCGCGCTAAGCAAATCTCCAAGAGAGCGCGAAATATTTATATTTTTTTATAACTTTAAAACGAAGAACTTACGAGAAATACACAAAACGCGAAATTTATTTTTATATAAACTAACCGAATATTTTTTACATTATTTTCGCTGCCGAAAGTATATGTAGATTGTTTTGAGAATTAAAATGAACTACAGTGGCGCAACCTGGACTTTTCAATCGTGTCCAGCGGACTTGGATTTCTTGCAAAAATGTTTTCAAAATTTGTATGTTCAATTAAATACTTCTTTTAATTTGTTGATTTATCGATATTTATAATGTTTTCAATTGAGATGATTGGCTTTTTTACTATAAAAAATAAGTTAAAACTATATATGTGAATGTATGTCGTCTTTCCTCGGGTTGACCTACGGTCTCTTGATGCCCTAACCCCACCCATTTGGTGCGCCACCGTTAACTAAAAGTAGTTTCGCGACGTCGAAAGCGCGGAGTGGAGTGGAGTGGCGTGGAGTGCGAGCCGTGGGGTTGCAGGTGGAGGTGCCGCGCGCCGTGCCGGTGCCGGTGGAGCAGCCCGTGCCGGTGCCCGTGGAGCGCGAGGTGCCCGTGCCGGTGCGCGTGCCGGTGGAGCGGCCCGTGCCCGTGCCCGTCACGGTGGAGAAGGAGGTGCCGTACCCGGTGGCCGTGCCCATCCCGCACCCGGTGCCGGTGCCCGTGCCGCGTGCCGCGCCCGTGCCCGCACTACGCGTGGAGGTGCGCTGCCGGTGCGCAAGCGCCGTGCCCGTGGCCGTGCACGTGCCGCGTGCGCCGGCCCTACCCCGTCAAGTTGCGCGTGCCGTACGCGGTGCCCGTCGACAGACCTTACCCGGTCCACGTCAAAGTTCCCGTGGATCGCCCGTACCCGGTGTATGTGCACAAGCCGTTCCCCGTGCACATTCACAAGCAAGTGCCTTACGCTGTGGAAAAGCCCATGCCGTTTGAGGTGAAGATACCTGTGGATCGACCGTACCCCGTGCACTTTCCGCAACCTTACCCCGTCACTGAATACCGACCGTTGCATTACACGGTAGAACGACCTTATCCCGTACACGTGGATCGACCTTACCCTGTGCATGTTGGTGTACCTGTTGACAGGTGAGATTCAATTAAGCCTTCATTTTCATTATTCTATTTTATTTTAGCAAAAAAATCTTAGAACCTTCCACTTAAGGACTTTTTCTGTAGGAATTTAATTATTTACGATTGTGTAAGGCATTCAATATTTAATAATTGCTATCTGTATGCCTATCCAAAATTATTTTCCATTTCACCAAGTTTGCTTTGTAGTTATCTCAAAATTTTTGGCAAAGCATAGCAAAGTGTCTGCGTTTTTATTATCCTTCAATTTTTGTGAGATTTTTTTTACTAGAAACTTCAATAAGTTTCTCCCGTTTCCGAATTCTTCTTGCCATGCGATCATCAATCACAAGTTTTTGTTCAATGTATTTGCAGGCCGTACACTGTAGAGGAACACATCTCCATTGAGCCACACATGCCGTTCGACCACTACGCTCCGCATCACCGCCACAGGTACCAGAAGCATCAGCAGCAACTGCATCAGCAGCAACTGCATCAGCAGCATCTGCATCAGGAGCATCTGCATCAGCAGCAACTGCATCAGCAACAACTGTATCAGGAGCAACTGCATCAGGAGCATCTGCACCAGGAACAACTGCATCAGGAGCAACTGCACCAGGAGCATCTGCACCAGCAGCAGCTGAGCGCGGGGGAGCAGGGCGCCGAGTCGCAGGAGGCGGGCCAGCTGACGGAACGGCACGCACATGCGCAAGGGGACGTGGACGTCGACGCGACGGCGTCGGACGTGGACGAGGGCACAACGACGACGACGGCGGCCACGGACCTGGAGGCCACCACCGAGCCGGTGCCCTCGTCCTCATCCCCATCAAACTCCTCCTCCACTTCGCCCGCGCCGTGAAGTTGCCAGAGCAGTCAAGCGGCGCGGGCTGCTGCCCGAGATCCCGCCGCGATCTCCTAGGACCCCATCGAAGCGACGTCACCTCCCGCCATCGTTCCATCACCAAGTCCTCCCTACCTATTTATTGCGGGTTCGCCCGCCCAGCACCCACTGTTCAATGAAAGCAGGTTCAGTTACTTACTCGACACGTCGTCGCATTCGAAAGAGAAAATAAGTATGAAAAGAAAGCTCGTTCTAAAACCTTGTAAGTTCAGTTCATTAAAATACTTTCTAGCTGAAGGACTCTGCGAACTCCTCTAATATGCTTGGAGCGAGAAAAAGTCACAAGTACTTTGATTTGTAGATTTCTTTTAAGTTTCTCAAAGAGTTCTGAGTAACTTAAGCTGAGATCGGCGAGTTCCAGTTCTGTAACATTTTCAGAACGGACTTACAAGGCTTTAGAAACAAGACAATTCCAGAGCGTTGAGTAAGTTGTAGACGGAAAGACTGTGTACTCGTATTGTTATTTTTTTTCATTATTTTATATTTTGTTATTTTTACACTAATGTTATTGTCGTGTTGTTTGTAAAAATACTAGCTTGATGTAGATATGAATCGCATGCGCGTTCTGTTGTCGGCACGCGTGCATTCCAGTAATAAAGATCTTTTATACGAAGGCGTCCACATCTCATTTGCCTCTCCTCTCCTTTCCACAACAGTGAGAGCTCCCAGGAGGAGAGAGTCCTTTCAACCGAGAGGCGGCGAGAGAAACGCGCGCGCGAGAAGCCGTTTTCTTCGCGCGGGGGCGGGGCGGGGCGTGGCGGGGCGACGAAGGCGTGCATCGCGCCGCTGCACTGGCGCCCCGACGCGCGCCGCCGCCTCCCGTCTCCGTCGCACGCGCGAGTGCGCGCGCGCCACGCCCAGGGACGCCGAGGGCGACAGTCGTCTCGCGTTTGCTGCCGGCGCGAAGCAGAGCGGCGCCGCTCGCGTGCCAGGCCCTCTCTCTCTCTCTTTCTCACGCGCGCGCGCGCTCGCCCCCAGACGCGCGTGCCGTCGTGCCACGACGCGCGTGCTCGGGCGCTGCAGCGTGCGGCTCCGGTTGACACGCGCCGCCCCCAGCATTTCGCCTTGGAGACCTGCCCGCTGGCGCTGCCCTCGTCTCTCGGGTTTCTATCTCCGGCTTTCGTCGAATGCCTTCTAGTAAACAACTGGAGGGCTAGGAGCAGTTGCGTGATATGACATAGTAAACTTCCCGCTAGTCCTACATGTAATTTCTCGACTACGGTCGAAGTGTCTATTGTGTTACAGTACTGCCCTAAGCCCATCGTAAATACGAAGAAGATATACGTAGTAACTATATAAGTCTCGCTCTCACCGAAATCGAAATATATCTATTTAGAGATGCGGGAGGCTTAATGTAGCTGGTATGTCTTATCTCGTTGCCCCTTCACCCAGTTCTTCAATTGTTCTCTTCCTTTACATTTACCATCTGTTGATTACGTATCCTACAACTCTTCCCTGTATTTCCAAACAATAATTTTACCCCTCCATTTTCGTATTTCGTCTTTGACTTTACAACTCTTGGCCCCTAAAGTATACATTTTAGTAAACATATGCATTATTTAAACACATGTATTTAACGTTCAATAGTATCTTCGTATTTATTTGTCTAGATGTTGATGTGGTGTAGGTGGCTCAATATTTTACATAAATTCAATAGTAATCTTTGAATATAATTATGAAGCATTTTATTCCGTCTTTCTTCCTTTCATGCGAAAGTATCTCTCTAACGGCTGTGTCTACAATTTTTCTTTTTGAAATTGCCTGGTATCGTTCATACAAAATCTTCGTGCTTGTAGGTGAGTTTGTTGAAAAGTATCTGCAGTTCTAATGTTTGCTTCTCAGCTACGCGCTCTCACGCCCGCCGTTTAGTTGCCGTGTTATTTGTTGCAGCACGCGATTCGCGAGAAATGTCACGGGCTCGCGGGCGTCAGAAGTAATATTAATGAGGGAATTGTCACTCGTTTTAAACAAAAAAGTACTTTCGCTCACGCAAATAGTTTGTAACGCCGTGTTTTTTTTATAATATGCGTGTGACAAGTGAGCGAGCGGCCAAAACAGTATTCACGCAAGTTTTATTTGAGAACTTGTCACAATAGTTGCACGCAATATTGTGTGAGCACGACTACTTTTTGATCTAAATGCCAGACATTTCAATCACAAGCTTTATTAGATTATAAATATTGAAGGTTCTTTTTATAATGCATGTTTATTATTGTGCATTTCTTGTTCACACTAATAAACACACTTTCACAGTGCTTGACGGGTTTAATTCGAAGGTAATGCCTTTGGTAAAAAGGAAACCACATATTTATTTAATGAAAGTAATTAAGATCGTGATATTAATAATCACTTTTAAAAACACCTATGTTAAGGAGAAAGTGCACGCATTCTGCACTTACATGCAGTAGGGTTTTCAAACTAGCTAAAATATAAAACTTGCGTTTACCACTCAATCGTGATGAAAGTACAAAGTATTTTATCTTTTATCTCAGAAAGTGTGCGCCTCAGCGCAATTATTCACGCTCAATATCACACCCCATATCCTTTCAGAGGTATTTCTTCGTTCATTCTCCTTGTGTGAACTTCAGTGTGGAGGGATTGGCAGCGGCCTTAACAACGGGAGGATTATACAAGTTAATAGTGCACAACGCTATGAACAGAATTGAGAAGACAGTTCATTTTTTTTTCTTCATTTATTTTTTGTTCTGCCAGAAGGCCTTACAAGAGCTTGAGTACACTTTACTTAATAGTCACAATAGGTTTTGGCACCATCACTAATTGTGTAATTGTAAACTCATTAAATCATTAATTTTGATAGTTTAAAATAGTTGTTTAATTGGAAATATTTTGATTTTAATTAAATTAATTCTCTGGGCATCAATATTAATTATAATAATTAAGGTGGACGCAATTTGCCCTTCTTCTCGAGAACACTTCATATTTATTAATGAAATGGTGTAAATTATAAATATTATTAAAATGTAATTCGCTTTTATTTATAAACAGCTAATACAAATTATAATGTGACTCGTTACCAATTTTTTAACTCTCAGTTCATCATGTGAGCTATCACATTCGGACTCACGTTTGTCGACATTTCCACTGGACGCATTTTGAGAGGTTTCTTAAAAAAACTCAAAAACTCTCAAAAGCACTATACTTCTCAAAAAAAATTGGTAAACACTTGTTGCTCTTCCTTCAGCTATCAGTCCCGAATATTTGTTACATTCACTCTACTCTGCGGAATTCGAATGACAGATTAAAGGGTAATATTCTAGGGAACTCTCTTCATGTAACGGAATATTGCTTTAGCAACCTACCGAATAGAGATAAAATTATGAAAATTTGCTTGGATATAGATTGAAGCAAGCAGAATTCATTTCTGCATTCTCCGAAAAAAGACCCGTAGTCCTATGGGCCCCTTTTCTAGCTTCCGCCTCAATTACTAAATACATTATTTTTAATAACGCTTAAGTAAGTTAAAATGCATGATAGTGTATAGCATAATATTGTATTTAAATACTATTTGTCTTTCAAGAATTGCTTAAAATGTCCTTCATTGAAATATATCAATTTGCAAATACTGCTCCCATAAAAATCTATCATTGCCAATGGTCACTGGAGTTTTTAAATTAAATCCTTTGGTGGTATCACATCCGTATCCAATCATCCAATCATTCGTTCAAAAATGTAGTGACGTTTTTAACTCAGAACAAATAAATTTGTGTCAAGTCGTAAAAATTAACTATATTGATAGAACACCTCAATCTTAGCGTGTATGAACCTTTAGATTACATCACTGGAGGCATCTGGTATAGATGTCATCACTTATAATATTTATAAAGGCTCATGTGCTTGCGAACAAGAAATGGGAAAAATAACTCTTCCCGGAAAGTTATTAAATTTCCACAAATGTCAAATTAAAATTCCTAATGAGTAATAAGAGAATAGGGTACTGCATACGGTGGACGTGCGATTCTTTTCTGTATATTATTAATGTTAATGAGCCACGAAAGATACGCCAGTGAAACACTATGTTTTATTCGATTTTGACTGATTTTGGGCAACCACTACAAGTTAAAGCTGTTACAGATACTGCTCTGTAGAACATTTAATTCAATTTGTAAAAAGATTGCCAACAGAGTGGTCAAATATATGGAAACTGCTTCTACAAATCTCCATAGTGTCGGTCGTATTTCTAAACTTTTTGTGACACAGATACTCTTTGTTCTAAGGAAAATGTTCTAAACATGTCGTAGATTATCAAGACTTCATTACAAATGAACAGTAATCTGTAATAAAGTTATCAATTGCCTAATGGCCTATATTTTGTAATAGCATCTCTTAGTACTGTCATTAGTAAATAAATAAATTTCTACGAAATTGAACTGGTATATATTGTTCACAGAGATATCAATATCAATGTCAAATTATTAGAGTCCATTCAATCGAATCTGCGTTTAAGTCTAATCTTCTAGAAAAATATTAGTTTTCGATTGTTCGTTTTAGGTAGCTAATGAAACACACTGTCATCTCAAAACTCTTATTACAAACCGTGAATAAAGAAACGTTTTTACAGAGTTTGAAAAGATATATCTTCTCCGTTGAGCTGACGTATACCGACCATGGACGAGCTGCCCAGCAACCCGCTAACAAGTGCCGCTAGCACAATAAAGTGCTCCTTACGTTTTTTTCAGCGGAACAAAACGGAGCGAGAAGCGCGGCCGCGCGTGCCAGCCGAGACGCGCTATGCGTTAAAGCTGCTCGCTTCGACAAGCATTGCGTCTGGAGATATTTACCCCGCACTCACCCATCTGCAAGGACCAGCTGTTGTGCTCCATGTGTGACTGCTATTACGGTGCAGGGCCGGTCGCTAGTTGTAATTGATGCCCGCAACAAGTCCGCATTTTCTGGTCGGTAAAATAGATAAAATTGGACTGCTCAGGGATAAAATTTTCAGATAGTCTTTAATGGAAACAATAACCTTAAGCGATGGGGAAACGGGCAAGCTCACGCTCTTGCGTTCTGTATATCGAACTCCTAGAAAATACAATTTCGTTTCGAAGACTTATTTCTGATGAATCTAATAATTTCTTTTGGAAACCTGGTCACCCATTTTTTTACTATCTCCAAAACGGACTCAAAACATTAACTCATTTGAAAAACAAATCAACATAAAATGGTTATAAATTCAATTATACATTGGCCGGGAGTCTCCAAACTGTACACGATGTGAAAATAATTATCGCACCTAGTACTCCCATTTGTACCTTCTGTGATTGTTTCTAACATCAATATTTAATCTGCACTATGAATTTTGTTCTGTCGAAATTTAATATTCTATAATGTGATATTAATGTTTCATAATAGTCCTATATTATGAAATGCCAGTGTTCGAAATAATTTGAAATAATTGCTCATTTTGCTTAATATTGCTTAGGTTAAGTGATAAATTTATCGTTTAACCTAAAAGGTATAAGTGTCTTTAATTATGATAAATTTTATTTACCACACTGGGTGCTAAAATTAATTCAAATACCACGTTCGCATGGAGAATATATTAAAGAACAGCGAGAAACATTTTGGATTCGGGGAGATCCAATTGTGTGGTGC